ACAAACATGAGGGGAGTCAAACCTCCGTGCAGTCCGCAACACCCTCCTTCCAAGAGAGCAGATCTTGCCCAGGGCCCCTCCCTCCCCCCCCCACACGCACACATGCTCACGCTCTTCCAAGTAAAGGAAGAAGCCAGGTCTACGATCTGCAAACCCAGATGGAACCCTCCGCACCACAGAGCGAGAGCGCAGCCCAAGGGGAGAGGGAGGAAGCACCTCCTTTCCCAGCATGCTTTGGAGTCGGCCTGACCTGGGAGGGAGGTGTGTCCCAGCCACTCACCCTTGACCTTGAGATCTTGAGATCCTAATTGTGACCTTGAGATGGCGGCTCGTGGAGACTGGTTGTCAGGTCTGTGAACGAGGCTAGGTCAGGCTGGCTGGATCGTGCAGGCATCTTCCAGCAGAGTACGACATCTCAGGCTCCTCGTGTCTCCACACCCTCTTCTCTCCTCTGCACAGGGTCAGTATCCAGCCTGTGCTGTCCGTAGAGCCCGGGCTTTGCTGGGAGCAGGGCTAGCAGGGGAGGGGTAGGAGGAGTGGCTGTGTGCTGTGTGTGAATAGCAACTCACAGACCAGCAGTACACATGGGCTGAGGAGATGTGTGTTCAGGACATCTGGAGCGAGCTCTGGTCATTCCCCTCGCCCCACTACACCAGCTCCCACATGGCTGCCAAAACAAAACAGCCACATAGAATTCACCATGTGAGAGTATTCCACGAGCAGAGATTCTCACAGCCCACAACGCACCGGGGGACAGTGAGTGAAGTTACACCAGCCATGAAGTAAAGGTCTCCTCCCTTGGCAAAAGGCATGTCTTTGCTTTGGTGGCCAGGCCCTGGGTGATGCTTCCCTCACCAGGCAGTACAGGGAAGGACTCACCAGGGCTCTCTTCCGCTGGGTAGCACAGGGGAGGTGAGTGGAGAGAGCTGGCTCCCAGGAGCAGCGCTCTGCAGAGTCCTGGTCCAAGAGAATCAGGACGATTCCCTCTCTAAGCTGTGGCGCTCCAAACACTGCCACTCACACAGACCCCGCTATAATGGGAAGGCTTGTGTCTATCATTCGACCCCAAATTAGAAGATTTGCAAACGCATGGTGTTAACGCTCACCCAGCCTGCCCAGGAGAAGTGTACACTCATGTCCACAAAGACCTGTGAGTGTCAGAGAAGAATTTCTCACAAGTCTCAGGCAGGAAGCAGGCCACGTGAACGTGCGCGCGCGTGTGCATGCGCGCACACACACACAAACACATACACACACACCCTCCTCCCAAGCTCTCAATGGAAGCCGTGCCAGCTCTGGTTCTGCAAGTGCTCCCCGCTGCAGCAGTGCCACTTCCGTGGCCCAGAGGCTGAAGGTAACCCCTCCACGGGGAGCTACCCAAGCCCCGAGGGCAGCATCCGCTGCACAGTCTCTGGGCAGAGCCCGGCTCCGCTCTCCAGACTGCCTGGCATGTGCCAAGTATCCTTTGGTGGCCAAGGAAGCAATTGGCGTTGGGACTGGCCACAGAGAGGGGTGCAGGAGAGCCGGTGTACAGGTGAGGAAGAGGAGTCGTTGTGTGCTTCTTGCCGTCCCAAGATCCAAGCAAGAGATAATCCCAGTATCAATTCATCCCAGGCTGGGCCTGGTGGCTCTGAAATCCGAGCCAGGCATGGCTCACCTGGCAGAAAGTTGGAGAACATTCCCTGTACTTGAAGATGTGAAAGGCTCAGATGGTGCCCTCTTCAGTGTGGATCTCGGGCTCGGGGTTTGTGTGAATGTGAGCTCGGGAAGGCTCAGAGCCTCCCCCAGTGTGTGGGTGCATCAAGCCCCAGAGAGCACCCCCACCCACCCACTTCACGGTCCACACAGCAGTCTCTCCATTGAATGAGTCCTGAACAAAGGATGTCCCCTGACTCAGGATGTGCTCAGGGCCCCTGGCAGCCCGGCCCCTCCCCTGCAGCATGCTGGGGGTGACCGAGGGCTTCAGATCTCAGTGCTCAGAGCTCGGCACCATTCCGCAGGGCCTGGCCCCAGCCGCTGACCCGCTCTGGTTCTACAAGGAATGTCCCAGCGCATGGCTGTCTTCAGACTACAGCTTCAGTCATGGTCGGGGTGCTTCCCCTCCACAGGTAAGCTCTGCAGTCCTTCGATGAGCCCGCCCTGTGATCCCCAAGACTCCGGGAGAGCGGGAACTGCTCCAAAACGTGTGGTCGCAGACCAGGGGAGCACCGGACTCAGGCAGGACCCTTGACTCTCCGTGGAGCACCCTGGCCAGATGGAATATCACTGGACACCATTCACCCAGAGACGCATTCGAGGTCCACGCTGCGATGTATTAGGTTATGTAGATATGGGACAAATCACCACACGAAGGGTAGAAGGCATGGCTCAGGTGGGAGAGCACCAGCCAGTGAGCAAACGCATCAGAGTCTGAGTTTGAGTTCCAGTCTTGGATGACTCACAAAACACTGCACCCAGCACAGTGTGGGTCTAGACTGTGTCTCTGCATATGGCAGAAGAACATGTGAGTGCATGTGCAGGTACGCATGCACGCACAGTGGCGGCACAAATGAGACCCCAGGAAATGCAGCGGCTGCTCTGGTGCTCAGGTTATTATAGATTGCTGTTCACTTTTGCCCCTCAGCACATCTTTCTCTTCCGTGCAGTGGGAGACATTGAGGACGAGGTGAGATTGATGGCGGCGATGACTCCCAAGAGATTCGCTACAGCAGAATGATGGGTTTATAGTGAATTCGGTTTAGCCATCCGCTGCTCTTCGTGGGGCTCCTCCGGTGTTTCTAAAGTGTGTCCCATGGCACACCAGCCCCCACCACAATTAAACTCTTGAGTAGGCGGGCACCTGCTCATGGTGTCTACCTTGCCCTTTCCAAACTTGCTCAGCCACGGAACCCTTTTTAATTATGATGTCTGTACTTTGGGAAACATGTTTTTTGTCTCATGCGGGTTGTTTCCTTGTGTGCTCTGATTAGTTCTATGTCTTTCGTGGGTGAGTTGTTCCAGCTCTCTGTCCAGACCGGCTCCAAAGTTAGGGACGGCCGTTTGAATCAGCGCCATGGGATCATCGGGCAATGTGGTGGATGCCGTGTGGGTTGCCTGGCTCCCCAAGTTGTGACGCCGAGCTGGCTTCAAGGCAAAATACCAGCCTGGGCCTCCATGTGTGCATCCTTCCCCTCATTAACCCTCACCCCTTCACCCCCCGCCCAAGCTGGAGGCGCTGGCTCCAGAGCTGTGGTTTTCTTACAGGAGTGAGGTGGGAGTGAGGGACAGCCCAGACCCCACCACACCCCCAATTATCCCCATGACAAGACTCACAGAGGCCAAGCAAACACGGGCAGGTGTGTGCACAGTGTGCAAGCATGCACAGTGACCATGCTTCTGGCTGCAGGTGCAAAGGTGGGAAGGTGGGAAGGCCCCAGGAGCTGCTGTGGGAAGAGGAAGTGAAGGCTGAGGCTCTGGCTTCTGCTTCATCCTCCGCCTTCTCCGCGCATCCCCCTCCCCCCAGCCCTGCAGCCCTTGCAGAACAGATACTGGTCAGAAGCAGGGGAGAGTGGGAAGTAAACCTGCATGTTTCCAGGGGCTCTTCGGGCAGCAGCGTGGGGACTCATAAACATGTGGAAGGAAAGAGGAGGAGATCATGAGTTCAGTGTTAGCACATTGGGTAGGGAAGCACATTTGAGGTTGTTTTTTCTCCTTTCTTTTTTCTTGAGACAAGGTCTTGCTGTGATGCTCAGGCTGGCATCGAACTCACTGTGTAGCCCTGGCTGGCCTCACCTTCTCCTTCCTCCTTCCTCCCCCTCCCCAGTGGTGAGATTACAGGTGTGTGCCTCCGTGCTCAGAAGAGAGGTTTTGCATGGCTCTTTGACAATCCATGAAACATGTCGGTTGCTCTTTTTAAAATAGATACAGTCTGGGATTGCTGGTGAATGGCAGGACTCACTTAGACCTGCACGGCATGCCACCTCCCCTCAGGTTTGCCTCATAGAGTGCTGCGTCTAGGAAAGCATGCAGACAGATGATGACAGTTATTTAAGTTAGCACCCATCATACTGGTGAAGTGGACACCTTCAGCCCTTGGACAGAGGTGGTTTCCACAGGGCAATATGGCCTTCCCAGCTGCCTGCCCTGGAGCTGAGGGAGAACTTGGGCTGCCTCTGTCCACGGCCACAGGACATGGGCCGCCTCTGTCCGCAGCTATAGAACACAGGCTTGGAGCTCTGTTTAAGTTTCCAGCTGCCTAGTGCACACACAATAATGAATGAAAAGCAAACACTGGAAAATACCACTTTCCCCTGTGCAGTCTGCGCGAACGCAGTGGCAGACCCTGGCTCCGGCCAAAGCCCAGTTCCCCCAAGTGACACAGCTCCACAATGGGGAGTCTGCCTGTGGCCACACACATACACACACACACTCACACACACACGCCAAGAGTTGTGGTCTTATAAGCAACGCTTCAACAGAGGGCTGGAGACCAGGGCAGGAAGTGAACTGGAGCAGAGGGAATGGGAACAGGTAGGCTGTTCTTGCTCAGCGGGCAGTGCAAGAGACCCTGGGACCTTGGCTTCCGTGGGGAAGAGCACATACTGGTCAAGATCCTGGGCTTTCCAGAGGCCAAGGCCTGCCTGCCTCCAGAGGCAGGAGTCCCAGCCTCTAGTGAGGGAGGGCCTGCATATGAGCAGTCAGCAGGCGTGAGCTGGTGGCAGTGGGGACCCGACTGCTCTGAGAAAGGGTTCCCAGCCGGATATGTGGAGTCACTTTGCCAGGGTCTGGCTCCGGGGCTGGGTGGGGTCTGAGACTCCATTCACAAGAGGCTCTGGGAAGAGGGCCGGCTCTACTGTGGCCTTGCTGCGGGCCACACCCGAAGGCCCGTGACCACTTTCATGGCACACTGGTACAGCCAGCTGTCCAGTGGCTGCCCCGAGCCCCCTTCTTTTCACCCCTGCCCAGCTACCCCATGAGCTCCGAGGTCTGCAGGCCTAGCTAACCTCTTTCTCTTCCCCCAGGGGAGGAGCGTCCCCGGGACCCCCCGGGCCCGGCAGAGGTCCAGGCTCCGGCCGGGGTGGAGGCCGGAGGGAAGACGAGCCGGCCACGCTGGACTTGCTCACGGGCTCGTCTCAAGAAGACGTTGTGGGGCGTGGCCGTGGTGCTGTGCGTGTGCGCCTCCTGGGCGGGCTCCACGCAGCTCGCCAGACTCACCTTCAGGACATTCGATGCGCCCTTCACGTTGACCTGGTTTGCCACCAACTGGAACTTTTTATTCTTCCCGTTGTACTACGCGGGGCGTGTGTGCAAGTCCACGGAGAAGCAGTCTGTGAAGCAGAGATACAGGTAGGGCCTGCAGATGGCTGGCGCGGCCCCAGGGCCTGTACCCCCAGGCTGGGGCCCCGGGGCTGGACCTGAAGCCAGCACTGGGCGGGCAGCCGGGTTGGCGGCTCTGCGCAGGGACGCTCTCTTGTGGGGTGAGATGGACGCTTTCTACTCTGAGCGATGATACCTCCAGCCCTGACTCCAGCCCCTGCCCCAGCCGCCTGTCAGAAAGGGCAGGCAGGCGGGCGGGCTCCTCCAGACACGCCTTGTGGTGGACCCAGGAAGCACAGAGGTGTGGTTCACACAAGAACTGCAGGACCAGGAGTCGCCAGAGCCGGGTGGCTTCGTACTGCCTGTGGCTTACTTCCTCTTCCGCTTCCTCTCCCATTTCCTCTCTGTGTGAGTGCCCAGCCTCAGGACCTGGCAGGGGTGGTGGTCATGAGCCATTTCTTTTCACCCAGGAAGGCGATCCCTTTCCCTGACCCCAGCTGCCACCCCAGTGTGTGGCGGGGCGCCCCAGCTCCCCCCCCAAGACCACACTGTTGCTGACCACAGTGCACCCTGGGGCTGCTCAGGCGGGGGCCACATGGGCTGTGTCCAGGACTGCCCAAATCCTCCTTATCAGGAAAAGCAAGAAAGACTTCTGCTGAATGATCCTGGCAGACCCTAGGAAGGTACTCAGGTGAGACCCCAGAGGTGACACAGGGAGACCCTGGAGGAGACGCAGAGAGACCCCACAGGTGACACAGAGACCCCACAGGTGACACAGAGACCCCACAGGTGACACAGAGAGACCCCACAGGTGACACAGAGACCCCACAGGTGACACAGACCCCACAGGTGACACAGAGACCCCACAGGTGACACAGACCCCACAGGTGACACAGAGAGACCCCACAGGTGACACAGAGAGACCCCAGAGGAGACACAGAGAGACCTCGGAGGTGACATGGTGAGACCCCACAGGTGACACAGAGAGATCCAGGAGGAGACACAGAGAGACCCTGGAGGTGACACAGACCCCGGAGGTGACACAGGGAGACCCCACAGGTGACACAGAGAGACCCCCCCATAGGTGACACAGTGAGAAAGCTGAAGCCACTTTGCTCATCCACAGCCCTCTCCCCATTCCACCCCACCACACCCACTCCACCTCACCCCACACCACCACATACCACATACCACCACACACCACATACCACACCACTCCATACCACCACACACCACACCACCACACACCAACACACCCCACGCCACCCCACGCCACCACACACCACCACACACCAACACACCCCACGCCACCACACACCAACACACACCACATACCACACACCACCACACACCACACCACCACATACCACACACCACCACACACCACACCACCACATACCACCGCACACCAACACACCACACACCACCACATACCACATACCACCTCACCCCACACCACCACACACCACATACCACACCACACCACATCACCACACACCACCACACCACACGCCACCACACACCACCACACACCACATACCACACCACTCGACCCCACCACACACCACACCACCACACACCAACACACCCCACACCACCACACACCACATACCACACCACTCCATACCACCACACACCACACCACCACACACCAACACA